TGCTTTTTTTATTTGTTTATAATTTTGTTGCATATTTTAATTTGAGTAGTGATTTAATTCAATAATGCAATTAATTTGTTATATTAGCTCGAAGTTTATCTGATGAGGAAATAGTCGATATTTGTACATGCGTCAATAGACCAGAGCGTGAAAGACTTACCCTACGAAAGAAACATCTGCCAATGAGCCATGAGCAAAAAAAGGAACAACTGAGATCTAAAAAATTAGAAAATTTCTTTGGTGAACAACCACCACGCGCACAGCCAACCGGAATAGCTGGAATATCACATAGGAAATTAAGAAATTTCTTTGGTCAACGTCCACCATCTGAATTAATTTCATCAAATTTGACAGACTATTTCCCTGGTCATGCTACTGAAGATCTTGAACGTAGCGCCAGAAGATCTATGATAAGAGCTTCAAGAAGGATGTCTTCTGCTTCTAGAACTTCAAGGACAAGATCTAGACGTATATCTAGAACATTCGAAGATCCCAATAGTAGACTGAGTACAATATTGGCTTCTCCATTGGGCTTAGAACATTTTGAAACAGCTATTCCAGAAGAAGAGCCAGGGAAAGATGACTCTTTTGAGCAAGAAAATTCTGAAGATCTAATTCTCGAAGAAGAAGAAGAAGAAGAGGAGGAGGAGGAGGAAGAAGAATATGAAGAAGATAGTGAATCAGTAATGATTCTTACTTCCTTATTTTTTTATTTTTTTATGTTTTTATTTTTTTATTTTTTTTTGACGTTTGTATGCTATATCTTTTCTAGGATATAGAAATTATTATGGATGTACCGTCAACGACTAACAAATCAACGGATAACAGCACTAGGTAATGAATAAAAATTTGATTTTTGCAATAAATTTCTTCTAATGTGGTTCTTATTAGCTGACTGGGTTATAATTCTTTTCGTAAAGAAACTCATTAGTCAATATTAAACCTAACTCTTTTAATAAACAAATTATGCAGCAGCGGCACGGTAAATTTATTGTTAGTAAAAATTTGGTTATTAAATTTATCATTTTATTTATGCATGAAACCCGCAATATTCGGTATAAGTAGAAAGTGGACAAGCATCAAATCGAACACCGGGGGTGGATATAAATGCTGTTGGGTCGCTCGATGGAACCAGTATATATGATGTCGATTTGGATTCAGTCGAAGATAAACCTTGGAGAAAACCAGGTAATAATTTTAGTAATTCATATGTGCTCACATTAATCATAGTCTGATTTAATTTTTCTGTATTATAAACAGGGGCTGATATAACGGATTATTTCAATTATGGCTTCAATGAGTATACGTGGAAGGCTTATTGTGCAAAGCAAAAACAAATGCGAGAAGATCAACATTCGCGAAAGAAAATTCATGTATGACACGTATAAATTGATAAACTATTCTTTCATTTATTTAAAACTTTGTATATATATATTTTTTTCATTTAGGTATATGAATCTAAGCAAGAAGTAAACAGTTTGCCGCCAGAATTACAATCTATTAGTCAACCGCAATCAGGGTTAGATCATCCGAGATTCCAACAGCAACGAGGAAGAGGTGGTTATTTCACATATTTTATTAGTATAAGCAATTATGTTGCCACATTTTGATAAAAAGGCTTTATAGGACGTCGTGGGAGGGATCAAGACGATTCTGTAATCCAAGTTGTGTCTAGTGAAAGAGAGGCTGCTTTGGAAGAATTGGAACCAATGTAAGCAGCACAAGACTTTGGAAATAATCTGTAAGATTAGCTTGACAAGAGCTAATATTCAACTTCATTATTTAGTCCACCGCCAACAATGGATGGACCTCAAAATGAAGATTACGGTATGGACGCCAATGGATACCCGCATGATTTTCAAGGTTTATATAATTGTCGTGTTCTTTATTAGTTTTTCTAGTGTTACACAAAGAATCCGAGTCTGCCGATATGTTATAAGTTTAAATATTTATTTACAGCTGTTTTCATAAATTCTGGGACCTAAAAATTTGCTCGTTTTCCGAAATCTCTTCGATTTCATTTTTAAGAGTCACCTAACTTCCGGAAACTACGTCGCTGTCTCTATATCGAGGTTCCAAGGACAGCAAAGTAGTTAGGTGATTCTTCGAATGAGATCGGAAAAGGTTTCGGGAAACGAGCAAATTTTTAGATGTTCCAGAATTTATGAAAGAGCTGTAAATATACGGATCTGAATTCGGATCGAATTTTTTGGTTTACGGATCTACACTTGGCCCAATCCGGTTTCTCGGATCGGATACATGTCTTTAAAGAATACGTCCGACTCGGTCTAGGACCCTAGCGTCACCAACCTAAAAAATTTTGCTTAGTGTTAGTGTTAGGATTTGGGCGTATTGTTGTTTTGATTTTATGTTACACTTTATCTTGAAATTTGTTTGATCGGATAGCAAAATTTTTTTAGTCTGGTGATACTAGAATGGTTGATTCGGTCCATATGGAACGCTAGGTTTTTCATATGCACATATATATATGTTAATTTTTATTAATTAAACTTCTCTCTAGGTCCACCGATGGGAATGAGAATGTTTCCTCCACCGGTAATTTATTAAATCATAAGTTTATTGCAATTTATGGTATCTGATAGATGAATATACTATCTTATTCACAATAAGGATATGCAAATGGGACCTCCGCCACCATTTTTTATGGGAAATCCAGAAATGCCACCAACTGGTCCGATGGGATTTGATCCAACATATCAAGGTGGCCAACCCATGCGTAGAATGATGCGTCCCACAGGAATGCCGGGAGGGATGCCCGGTATGGCAACACGTATGCCACCAACAATGCCTGGTGGTATGCCTGGTGGGATGCCCGGAATGCCACGAGGGATGCCCGGAATGCCTGCGGGAATGGTTGGCCGTGGACGTGGGATTGCAATGGACGAAAGGTAATATCATTATTGTAATTTGAATAACATTAAACAGTCACAATTGATGCGTCTGTCGGTTTTTGTTTAGACCATTCTTTTCCATGGATGATCAATGTATGTACCATTAAGTATTACATTTCAAATATTTAAGATGATGTACACGCAAGGGTCTGTCCATAAATAATGTTATCGAAAGACATATATAGACTTATTACCCCCTCCCCCCAAATAGTATCCTTATTATTGAGCTTTATTATGAACTTTTAAATTCCTTCTCTGATATGACGTTGACATTATTTGTGGACGGCTCATAACGGATAATTTTTAAAAATTGTTGACATGCATAAATTCATTAATAGCGTGGGAAATGGAAAACCGTAATACACAAACGTTTCGTCCTGGATTTGCAGGACGACCGCCAACTGGCCCAATGCATGGTAATAGATCCGATTTCCATGATTGGGAACATTCACCACCCCCAGACGCACCGTATTCTCATAGGATGCGACCATCTTTCCGACCTAACGCACCGCCTACGGGGCCTGCCGAGCAGTCACATCATCGTAATCTTGTTTCATCTGTTGATAGCCCTAGTTCTGATCGTGGCGAAGAAGAAAATAGGAGTACCTCGTAGTGATTGTAGTCGATTAAAAATTTATAAGCTTAGTTAAGTCGATAACTTTGATACGACTAAGCCGGCTCAGTTGGCTATTATCTGCCAGTACTATTTTAAATTTTTGAAAAGTTTCAAGACTCTAGAACCTCACAGTGAGGAGATATAGGTGTGAAATTACTTTTGTCTAGTATTGTATTTAATTATA